ACGTAGAAGTACATATCACTGCATGTGATCGAAAGACCTAGTTCACATGGAAAATTTGTTAATGTGGCATTAATTACGGAAAATACATGAAAATATTATGAATTGTAGTTTTATTTTTATTTTTTTATGGGTAAGAAAATATATTATGAATTGTTAAAAGACAATTAAGCATGTTGGATACGTTATCAATGATGTCGCAGGTGATGGTTCCATTCTTGTTGTTGCTGGAGGTACACATTTAATTTTTTCAATAAAGCTAATCATAAGTTGATTACTAATTAAGTCTAAAGTATTCTTATACAAGTTGACAATTCTTTTTAGTTTGACTTTAGACTCTAATAAAGTAATTATATTCTTTAAGTGACGGCTAATTAATAAGTAATTTTAAGTGTATTATATGTAGATAATCTAAGCTTTGTCAGATTAGTCTTGTTATTTGTTAACGAATAACAATGTCCTTTAGGATGTACTTTGTAGATTATTAGTTGGATTGGAAAATTTGGTGCTTAATTATATGCTTGATTAGCGGCAATCTTGTAATTAGGTTTTTATTTGATTCACCACTATATTCTTGCCTGAAAGCAAGCATGCAAGGACTATATGTGCAACGATGCTTTTGACAAATTTTACACAATGTACCAACATATCTCAACAGTCAACACACTTTTTAAGAAAAATTATTTATTACAAGGGTCAACGTAAATTAAGTTACAGAGTTAGAGTTGTGCAACGTATTTTATATATTGATCAATATTCTAGTAACTCTTTTCATTTTGCATTTGCAAATCAGCAAGTAAGACTTAGTGTAATTGTTTGAAAATTCATCTCCAGTGAAACATGTCTTGTGTACATATTAATTATATCCAATTTAGTGCAATGAAACCAACAATTTCATTTACGGGAAAATAGTTCCCGTTATTCTCCTTTTCTTCGCAAACAACTTCGTTATGAGTTACGGAGTATTATTCTAAATGCACACACGTACGTACTCTTGAATTCTTGATCACTTATTAATTAAGCCTATGTTCATATGATGATGAAACGTAATTATTCAATAATTTAGAGCAATATAATTCATTCACGTATGTGAATACGTCATTATCAACATAAAAATAGTGGGAAAAACATTTGGTATGCTCTTAAGGTGAAAGGTCCCCCTTCACATGACCAACGTCTCATTAGTCACATACACTTAAAACGGTTTAGATGGGGAAAGAGATAGAGACGTGCGTAAGATTCTTTTTTTTTTTTTTTTTTTTTTAGGAATATTAATAAATGGAACTTCGAATAATTTTTATTATTTGAAGAAATTTCCAAAACTTTTAGAAATGTGCTGACCTCAACTAGTAAAATCTTATCTCAACTCTTTGATCGATCTTCTCATAAAATACTTTGGTTGTTTTCTCGAATTTTTAATGACCTTAAACTAGTAATCTTATCCTTTGTTTCTCATCTCTCTTTCTAGATGTGCACTATAAAATGGAAAATTTTTGTGACCATGAATTGTGGGAACAAATTCTGCTATAAGCTAGCCCATTACTTAATTGGACTAATTATCTTGGTATAATAAATAAAGTGAAATGCTGAAGTTCTGGCGATACTTAGTGAAGGTTTTGGGATTAGACATAGAAAGTGTCTCAGCATATAAACGATAGAAATACTCCGTAATTAAAATTAAAAGCTCATTTATACCATATAAATAAAACTTTCTAAAATGGCAAAAGGTAAGCCTAAACATGACAAACATTTATAAAACAATCAAATATCGCCATTATTTTTTATTACTAATGGATATAGTGTGAAAAGACAAAATGTTTGATGTCCGTCGGTTGAGGAAGAAGCGAGGACTAACATGAAAATAATTGGTAGATGAATAAAAACATGAAGACATTGAATGTGTAAATCAGGAGTACAAATATTGTCAGAGGAGAAAATCTATTAAGTAGGTTGCCATAATATTGCTGACTGTCTAACTAAAAAGAGGGAACCAAATATGACATGATCTTTTGAATAGTCTGCCTGGGTGGCAACAAGGTTCTTAAAGGGGGGAAATTTTGGTTCAAATGATCTAATATGGGTTTTGGGCCCTCTTAATAATTGTGTTTGTGTTTCTCTTTCTCTCTAATTCATATAATAATTGTACAAGCATGAATTAATTTTCTTAGACTGAAGAGTGTAATTCTTGACAATTGAAAATCAATTAGTTAAATCATTATGTTAGACAATATATTAAATGAGACGGTCTGATACGGAGTAGTAACTTTTTGTGAGATTCCGTCGATCATATTCAACTTTAATATAGAGATAAATGACATACAAGATTAGTATAATAAATGTGGTTCAAAATATTGAATCTTAGACCTCTACAATCTATATACAAGCATAAAAGATCATGAACGATAAGATTGGAGTTTCTCGCCTTCTCTAAAGTCGATCCTTTAATTCTCAAAAACAACCCACCCCAAAGGCTCCAAACAAAACTATGAGAAGTTGAGAAATAAACACGATGACAAGATTTTGACCAATATGCGATATTATGAAGCATCATCAAAGATTTCACAATACCAATTGCTTAGTCATTGTCAAACGCATTCATTCACTTAGATAGATAATGTTAAGGGGACCATTTCAACTGAAACATGCAAATTCTAATTCTTGGTTTGTTCATAAAACATAATTAAAAAAAAAAGTAATTTTGCATGCTTACAAACGTACATTAAAGAAGAAAATTATTGTGTCAACTTTACGCAACTCCATGAATATAACTCCTCCAAGCAATTAAAACACCCATTTTTTGTGTCAATTAAGTTATTATATTTTACTACGTATTTTTTTTTTCTTTTCCTTTTTTTCTTTTTTTGTTTAGCTCTTGCGTAAAGTGCAAAGCCAAAGTACTATTAGTACCTTTGGAGCCTTTTCTTATCCAAAGATTCCAACCTCAAATTTTTAACGAGGGACTAAAGTTAGCATAACCATAGCCCAACTGCCACAACTACCAATTTAACTACCCCAAATTTAAATATAAAGTATTGATACTAAAAGAGAGCCAAATTTCAATTTTCTTTTTAAGGACAAATTTGTGGAGAATAATGAAGATGTAGCAATGATCTTATTGTATTTTGTCTATTATAATTACGAGGAAAAAAAAAAGTGTGGGAATTTTATTCAATTGTGATAATGATTACGAAGTAGTTATTTTGATAGTTATGTTTGAAATACATTAGGCTAAGATCTTAATTAGCTCAACTTTATTATAAAAAAATAAAATAAAAATGTAATCATCAATTCAACAAACAATTAACGATTGAACGCAATGGACCTATCCATGTTGAAGAAGGGTTAATTTCGAGTTTTCGACCTTGAGCAAATTCTTCCAATCCACACATAATTTGCATATATATAAACTAATAATGAATGTATAAATGAGTTACTTTCTCCGTTCTTTTTTACTTGACCTGCTTTGACTTTTATACTATTTACTACCCCTCCTTTGACCGTCTTTTGTGAATAATATGTAAGAAAAAAATATATTTATGTGGGATCTTTTTGAATCCGTCTCAATAAGTACTATCATAATATATAACTTTTATAATTTTTACTTATGGAAAATTAAAGTTATTAATCGTTAAAGTTTTGCATTGGCAAACGTGATAAAAGAAACGGGTCAAGTAAAAAAAACAGAGGAAGTATATATTTTCAAAGAGTGATTCTATTGATTAATGGTCACACAAGAAGACCACCGCATGCAGAAGAATTAAAGAGTACATCCATCAATTATCACCATGCACCTCACCCCTCTATTGAATGCTATCAATTTTATGTCTTGAAATGAATTTATGAACGAAATTCGTTTGTTTGGCATCCAAAATATGAAATTCGAATACCCGATATTAATATCCATATAAGGTGCAACAATTTAGGTTTTAGGATGCGAGGAATTTATTGAAAGGACTTGCTAGTTGCTAGAGGTCACCAGCATCTAACTAGTTGGGGAGGTGATTTGAGAGTGACAATCAAATCGCATTTTCGTGTATAAGATTTTGTTCTCGCATCATTTATGAGGTTGCAATGTGTTGCATGGCCTCACATTATTATAATATATCCTTATTCTAAGATAATTTTTAACAATATATAGGTAACAAATTGCATGGGCACAAAAGATTTAAATATCTAAATTATGTGGATGTTGAGCCAAAATCGTCGGTTATATAATTATATTCATCTAATAAATTATTGTATTATGAATGAATCAATAGCTAGAGGTTATTTGACCAGAAAGTAGTTTTGGTTTGTTTTGGTTGAAGGAACGAACTTATCTTAGCTAAGATAGGGCCAAAGGGGGACCTATTTTAATGTGGTACGATGCTAATAACTTCGTTTTACTTTCATTGTTTCCTTAAGATTGCAACAACTTAACCAACTAATATTTAATTATACTCCGTATGTTTTTAATTATTATAAAAACTTTAATACAATGAAAGTATTCATTGAAACGAATCCAACAATAATTTCCATAATAATTCATAATTTATATATTTATTACCATAATATAGTAGTAAACCTATGTGGTCAAAATTAAGATGTAGATAGTGCAAAAGTCAAACCATTGCAATTTCAAGAAACAGAAACTATTACTTTGTTCCACTCATTATATCAATATTCGCATGCTAACTGCTAAGAAGTACTTAATCAATTAGACAATCATTTGCCCTTCTTTCCTTGTATTCTTTCTTAAACATAACTTTGTGAGCTTAAAATCTTATTTAGAATTTTGAAAAAAAAAAAAAAATATCCTGAACCATCACAAAATCCTTATGTGGGATAAATATGTCATACCCTCATACAAGTAACTAAGAACACATGTAAAGACTAAAGACCAAAACGAAGAATTCACCTGTTATAGTCTTATATACTCAGCTAGTCAGCTTGTAGAACTTTGAAGACATTGCTAACCATGAGAATGAAAATTCTTCCTCACGCACTTTTGAATGCAATGGATATGAATCATATGATGCTTTGCTTTCTTCTTTGCACCCTTTGAATACTTCATACTTTTGGTCAAAACAACATACTAGTACAAGCAGAGGGATTCGCGCACTATCTACTTAAAAAACAAATTTTTAAATTGAACCAATTGTTAACGAGATTAGGCCCAAATCCAAGCCCAAGCCCACAACGTTGCTCACAAGCACAAATGCCCATTTACATGTTTAGTTCATCCTGGTAAATGAGATCCAATATCCGTATCAAAAGGCAACTAATTAATTATTGAGAACAAAGACATAATTTAGCACTTGCACATAAAAATTAAAATTGCTTCAATAGCAACAGACAACAGTAGATCGCCAAGTACAACTAAAATGGTAGTATTTGAGGACAGTTAACTCATCTTTCCCCAAAGTTGTTCAGTACCTGCGATACAAAGGTGGGGGAGGACGATGTTCAGCAGGTGTATAATACTCAGCAGGTAGTCTATCAGACGTATAATCATAATGTTCTCTCCTTGTATCAGTGCTATATAGAGGCGCACTATAGACATGGGGTTCTCTATAAGATAGATTGAGGTCATGGTGACTGCGCCCAACTAGAAGCCTTGATTCCTGAGAGCTCGAAAGGCCTAGATCTCGATGGCCTAGGACTGATTCCCTCCTGTAAGAATCAGTTCCCAAGGTTCTATCAAAGGAATACATTCTGGAGCCCGGAGGGCTAAGCGCTGGTAAAGGCTGATATGAAGTTGCTGGTGGCAAAGATGACAGATAGGTTTCCCTCTCATAAACAGGGTGTCTCTGATATCTGTCATCTAAAGCAACATGAGCATGCCTTATTTCTTCCTGAGCCCTTCTCCCACTTCGGTCATCTATGACTACAGGAGCATGCCTTGCTTCTTCCCGAGTTCTTCTCCAGCTTCTGTCATCTATGACCACAGGAGCATGCCTTATTATTTCTTCATGAGCCCTTCGCCGGCTTCTGTCATCTATGACCACAGGAGCACGCCTTATCTCTTCCTGAACTCTTCGCCGGCTTCTGTTCCGTTCTACAGGAGCAGCTGCCCCTCTACGGCTATCCTCTACCCTTTTTCTCTTCTTGTCCCGCCTTGCAGATGAACTGGTGGCAACAGGTCTTCTGCTCGCACTAACTTTTTGGGATTCAGCTTTCTTGTTTGTCTCATGGAAAAGCTTACACAAGTCTTTCACCTGTTTTTTTGAGGTAATAAGAGAAGAAATTTAAAATCAATCGCATAAGAGTGAGCAGTAATAGTCTTAATGACTGTTTAGAAATGCTTTTAGCATGAAAATGAAAAGTCAATATTCAGAGACCTGTTTACTGTTCAGCTGGCAATTAAACTTGTTCTTCGTGTAGTAATTATCCTTGAGGACCTGTTTGAATCTCTCCTCGGCTAATGGCACGCAATCTTCAAGGATGGAAAAACGAACCTACAAGAAGCAAAGTTTAGGAATCAGTCTCCCTTTTCTTCCCCACCCCCCTTCCCCACCCCTACAAGATCCAATACCAGGGCAAAGCCAAGTAAGGAAATATGCCAGGCTGCCAGCCAACACACAAATAGTTTTTGTAGTGGAATTTTTTTGTCAGGGGAATGACAGCCAAAGTTCCATATATACGCAAAAAAGTATGCATAGGGGACCATGATACTCAGTCCATCAATGCACAATCCATCCTTCAACCGTACCATAACTATCGTTATGCAAATCTAATAAGATCAATATCCAGCAAATTTTAATGGCGGTCAAATTCATACATCCTGCTGATTCAGATTTTCAGCAGTTTAAACCATGTACCTAATGCATACAATAATAATAGTTATTCCTAATGCATTCCTAATACTGGCCAGTATTAAAGAAGCATGTGAAAAGGGGATTCCTAATGCATACAATAATAACCAGACAGCTCTTCCTCACACTATTATAAAGATTTGAAAGTTCCTAGTTCGCCTTTGTCACCAACTGGTATCTCAAATAATATGTCGAGGCAAATTCAAAATTCAGTCATAAAAACAAAAGGAAACAAATCAATAATTGAAGTTGACCAGATTCACACATATAACACAATTTAGAGGATACATATAAGCCGCCAAAAATAACTACACGTGTAACAGATGAAGCATTCAGAAGTGATAATCATTCAATTTAGTTCAATATGGAAACATAGAATTGCTACCAAGAAACTCCAATAATACAACCACCACACTTCAAGATCTGCTTCTCCGCATGAGACTTAACACATCTCCAACTTCCAGTATACAAATACCCTTCAGGAATATTTTCCTCAAAAAGTAAAGATGAAAGCAAAGTAAGAGAAGCTCGGAGTCAAACAAACCTGGGAAGGAAATTGGGACTTGAATGCCCTGGGTTCAATATTGTATCCCCCAGGATCCGCAGCCTTGTAGACTCCGTACATCATTCTAAGGTCAACATCAAACAGAAAAAGTCTCATGCCCTTGTAAATTTTCATAACCATATCTTTTTTGCCAGCAGGTAGCCCTAAAATTTTGTAGCGATAACAATCCTTTTTTGTTTCTGAACTGCACATGAATATCATCCCCATGCTATCCATTTTTTTTGATAATTTACCCTCCTTGGATGGTTTGGGCTTACTTGCATCATTGGAAACCCCATCCTGGCAGCCATTTTTAGCTGCGTTTTTCTTTTTACTCCTCTTTGATAGACTTACCCTATCCGCAGATTTTTCCATCTCGCCATTTTTCACATCTGGCTCATTAATTTCATTATTCTTTTCAATCTTCTGTTCATTATTTTCTGACCGCAATTTGTGAGCATCTTTCACAGTTGCTATACCTGAATTACTTAGTGGAGCCTTCTTTCTCCTAATATTGTTCCGTTTTCTATTGGTCTTTACAGCTGGTTTCACTTCAGTCCCCTCTGCATTGTTTACATGATCATTCGCGTCTGCTTTGCATGCTTCATCTGATGGGGCTACAATATTTACATGCTCTTCCATGTCTACTTTGCAAGCCTCACCAGAAGCATTGTTCTCATCCAAAGGTTGTGGCATTTCTTCATTTACAGCTGCAGCTTGCTTCCACAACCTCTTCTTCTTAACCAACTTTTTCTTCACTACTTTCCTCTTTGGTCTATTGACCTGGACAGTGACTTCCTTGAAATCATGAGTAATGCTTGCATTTTCTTCTGTATTCTCTTCCTCTCCCTTATCTGAAAGAGTGCCTACTAGCTTCTCTGCGTCAGGTTTAACTGGTTCTTCAAGATTCTCTAGACTATCTATCATGGTTTTCTGTATTACATGGTCAAAAGAAGACAGATCTTCAGTGTCAGTCGGCACACCTTCTGTTACCTTTAAACTCTTCCTTTCATCTCCAGTATCAGTATCATTACTGTCAGGTCCAATCTTCACTGGTGCTTCATCTTCCTCTGGCTTCTCATCATTTTTCTGTGCCTCATCTGTCACTGGCCTCCGCACCATAACCTTCCTTCTAACAACCTTTTTCTTCCCTACTTTCCTGTTGGGTCTAATGACCATCCCAGTGACTTCCTTGACCTCATTAGCTGTGCTTGCATTTTCTTCTACATGTTCTTCCTCCCACTTATCTGAGAGAGTGCCTATTGGCATCTCTGTGTCAAGTTTATTTGGTTCTTCTAGATTATCTACCATGGTTTCCTTTGTTCCATGGTCAAAAGAAGAAAGACCTTCAGCATCAGTAGGCACACCTTCTCTGGTCACCTCCAAACTCTTACTTTCATCTTCCTCTGGCTTCTTATCACTTTTTCCTGTTTCATCTTCCTTTGGATTTATTCTTTTCTCTTCATTGTCCTCAACATCATCAGCAGCTGCATCACTTCCATTAATCACCTCATCCACATCCTTTATTGTTCCTTCCTGTGTACAGACATCTTCAGTTCTGTCAAAACTTATCTCAGTCGCAACATTGACTTCATGTACATTTTGATCCTTTTCTTCAAGCCAATCACTAAAAACAGATCCAGAGATCATCTCATCTATCTGTTGCTCCTCTAACGGCATAACTATTGTATTTAAAGTATCAATCTTTTCATCCTCTCCACCTAAAGGACCATCAAAAGTTTCATCAAGACTGATCTTCAAAGGCTCAGGCTCAACAGGTCCAGGTGCAAGACCCTTAGTTTTTGATCTTGATCCCTTTCCCCTGCTACCAACCATGTTAACCTGCATGGCATCAGCAAAAACCCTAGGATAAATTTTGGAACACTGACAAACCATAAAAGAAGGGACTTCTATTTGGGTATTGTTCTCGTGTAGATAATCATACCTAAAAAATGGGATACCCTCAACACCGCTTCATAGAAAGCTTACAAAAATTGTGTCATTTAAACACAATAAAGGGAGTTAGGCAAAGAGCTTATAACTTATTTGGAGGGTAAGCTGTTTCACCAGCCCAAAATATTTGTTTTAGGTGATTACTAAATAGCTTATTGTAAGAGATTACTTACCAGATAATTTTACAATCACCTAACAATCAATCAAAAATATAATCAAGCAGTTAGCTAATGTAACTAGCTGGACAAATAAGCTCTCACAAATAATGTTAGCTAACTACTACTCCCTCTGCCCTTGATAGATTGCCCCATGGCCCCCATATACTAAAAATGGACGAGTAAACTTTCCTAATTACAACCCCACTTGCTCTCTCTCTCAATAATTGTATCCACCATGTGCACAAAACACTTGATTCTTAAAAAGTGAAGTTGAGGTTTGGGGCAATCTTGGGGGATAAAAAAAAAAAAAAAAAACAATCGTGCAAGTGTTTGCCTCTCAATGATCTTGAGATTGTTAGAGGCGGGACATAAAACAGTATAATATCAAGGAATGTCTCCACAAGGAACCAGGTTTGTATTAAAAATTTCGCACGTTGAACTTTTAAAGGGTATCTAACAAATGAATTTCAACAAGAATTAACAAACCAAATTACTCTACTTTTCTAGTGTGTCAAAAAATAATGTTTGTAAATAGGACGAAGCTAATAAGCCACCTCTCACAATTTTCTTGATGTTAAACTTTCCCTAGTTTGAAATTTCAAATCCACAAATCAAGACCAAAAGGCTAAGGCAATAGTAGCTAGGATTAAATGTTCACACTCTAGCACAATAACACACATAGCCAATTAGCCAACCGTCTCCATCCTTAGTATGGAGTAGATCTGTAGATGGTACCCGGACATCACAAAATCCAAACTTAATGCTTCCTTATTTCAAAAGGCAGTAAATGGTCAGATTTTAGAGAGTGCGTGAATAATTATAAATGTACTAACTAAATGACATTCTCATCTTTAGTAATACGAAGACACAACTAATTAAACTTTTTATTGCGATAATAATAAGTTGAAGCATCAAGCATCCATAATCGCCCCAACATCTTAGTTATTAATTCAACCACAATGGTAATTTATACAATATTATTCACAGAAGAATCAGCAATCAACTCAATTTTAACAATAAGAACAAATTTCAGCACAGATCGAAAAGGAAGCAAATCATAACTTCATACCCGACTGTAAATATATCAAATTACACCAAAAAAAGTTATTAATTCAACAACAGAAATAATCCAAACCAAATTAATTCTAAGAAAATCTTAAGGGAAGAAAGAGACCAATTGAAAGCCATAGATTCGTCCAATTATGAGCTCAAATTTACAAAGTAACCCCAAAAAAGAAAAATTAAAATCGAGAAACGAAAGTATTAAAAAAATAAAATTGGGGAAAATTGAAGATAATAAAAAGCAAAATCGAACAAAATAGGGATAAAAATTGTAGAAAGATCTGAAGGAATGAGATGCGAGCGTACCTGTAAAAATCGAGAATAGCAAGCGATTAGGAGTGGGGAGAAGTTGATGAAAACTTTTAGGAGAGAGATTGCAAGACTTAATATAACCTCAGGATTGGGGGTTCTGTTGTTACTTTTGTTAGTGTTGCTTTTTTTTTGTTAATTACAGTAGACGACATTAAACATCTAACATGTTAAATACGGAGCATTTTGTAGGAAGTTTTTTACTACTCGTATCATCTTTATCGGTGGAATTGCATTAGGAATTTCCCTCGTGCGGAGGATTTTCTAAAATCTCCATTGTGAAATTCAATTTCAATTAAATTCTATGTGAGAAGAAGGACTCTTAAAGGTCTTTTTTTTTTTAACATTTATATAATAGAAAAAAATTGTTAAAAATTGGGCCTCACATGGTTTAATTTGCTTAAAATGGGGGTGAGAGATTGTTAGTGTAACACCCCGACCTCTAATTCAATTATTAAGATAATCTTAGCAGCGGAATTAACCTAACACGGTCGGGACGTCACTGCCGTAAATCCCTCACGAGATTTACAAGGCAACAAACATACTTAATTAACAAACTTGATTTATAAAACATAGTAATCTATTTATAACAAACATTATTCTTAATTTTTATAATAGAAAATCCTATCTTATCTCAAACTTTACTAAGTAGCTTAGTCTTACTATTCAAATTAAACAAATTAAAACTATAACTACTATTAAGTGATAACTGAAAGTAAAATCCTCGCTACTACTCGTCTCCATCATCCCCAGCAGTACCTAAAACATAAAAACATAAAACCGGGTGAGCCGAAGACTCAGTAACGAACTACTCTAGTAGTGTAACATCATTTCAATTCATTTTAGTTAACAAAACAGGTAGAATAGAGTATCTTAAAACATTTAATAAAATTCATATAATGATATATATATAACGTTCATATTAACATGCTAGTCGCTGGCAAGTATGACATGGCGGAACGTCTTCCGCGATGGGCCGGTGCCCATAACATAGAGCAGATGCTCGACATAGTTGGGCTAATGCCCCATGGGTACATGCATGACCGAAAAGTAACCTGTAAACATATACTGCCAGACGGACTAGGTTTTTCACTGTTATTTATCATGTTGTGTAACTTTTACATAAGTCATTCATAGATTCATGACACACTTTCGTAAGATCCAAAGATCAATAAAACAACGTTTATCAATAAAATCATTCATATAAATCATTAGACTGGAGTACATTAATAAACACAATCATCATCCCGCAAGTCAATAAATCCAGAGATATAATTAACTTTCAAAATTGACATCATGGTTTTATAAACACATTTTGAAGGGAATTGCGGGTACTAGCAATAGCCGTTACCTCGATTTACAGTCTGATAACCTTCCTGTTAGCCTTTATTCTATCGTTCTCACTGAGCTCCGAGGTCCGATTCTTCTTAAAAATATAAATTATTGCATTAGTAGGAAAAATGATTAAAAATATACTCTTTAATTATTTTAGTATAAAATCAACAAACTTATTTCTAAATACAAGTAATACCATACGTAGCTTTATGACTCAAAGAAGTCATAGTTTTTCCACTAAATCATTAACTTAAGTATAAGAATTATTTTTGTATTACAAGAAAAACAATACTAGATAACAAGATTTCTCTTTACAGAATAAATATGAACATTGAAACAATACTACTTATACCTTGGGCTAATTAGTAGTATACGAAGCAATAAGGTAATGGGTCTTAGAAGGCCATTTTCATTAGTTTGACAAGAAAGTTTACGAAAGGAGAAAAGAAAGTATATAATGAGTTAATGACACTAGTGAACGGTGGTGACGTTTTATATATATATATAGAGTAATATGGTTGCTAGAATGAACTTGAAAGAAAGAAGAAGATAAGATCAAGATTTGCTAAATTGATAATCATGGGGTTTTGAGTGACCAATTATATGGAAAGGCAAAATTAGACTTTGTATTATAAAGCTCTTAACCGTGAGGGGAATAGAGAAGCAAGAGGTGGGTTTTGTTTTCTAGTTGAATGAAGCAAAGTTTATCCTTTGCTCTTTTGTTTCTTAACGGTGAAGGATCAATAGCTTACAAGAAAAGATTATAAAAGTTTATTAAGTGATAAGATTATCACAAGAATTAGGCAACTAATGGTAAAGGAAACAGTAAGAAATGAAATTATCAATTCTTTTCTTAGTGGTGAAAAAGGGATGAAGTTAGGAGGTGGATTTTGTCTCTTATGATAAGTAAGGGCATTTTGGTCATTTTTTTTTCGGGTAAAAATACATATTTTGATACAAATCTTTAAACATTTTACTGACCGGAAATAAGCTGTAAAATAATAATTTACTTTCCTTAAAATTAGCTTCTGAAATAATATAATATTAAAATAAAATTCAAGATTAAAACATTCGTTCTTGTTAAAACAGAGACAAAACTTTAATTAAGTTAATAAAATAAATATTAGCGTATAATAAATTAGGTTTTTAAAATCTCGGGTATTACATCCTTACCCCCAGAGAAAAAGTTTCGTCCTCGAAACTGGAGCTCAGTCGAACTTAGAACAATTATATCATTAAAGCATACAGGTCACATTTAATCAATCAATTCTCCTAATATTTCTACAATAACAATAATATCACAACATATAATATATAATAGTCCATACGTTGTTTGTGGTTAAACAAACAGTTCGGGGTATTTTGTTTGCATTTGTTCCTCCACTTCCCATGTAGCTTCAGATGTTAGGTGATTGGCCCATAAGACCTTCAGCATTGGAATTACCTTGTTTCTAAGCTGTTTCTCTCTGCGGTCAAGGATTTCAATTGGTTTTTCCTCATATGTCAAATCGTTCCGCAACTGTAAGGGTTCATGTTGAATCACATGGCTTGGATCAGGGACATATTTCCATAACATTGACACATGAAACACATTATGCACCTTCTCTAAGTCGGCGGGTAAGGCAAGTCGATATGCTACCTTATTCACTTTGTCTAAGATTTCGTACGGCCCGATGTACCTTGGAGTTAACTTTCCTAATTGACCAAATCTCATAACTCCTTTTGTAGGAGAAATTTTTAAAAATACATGGTCTCCAACATCAAACTCTAACGGTCTCCTTCGTTGGTCTGCATAACTCTTTTGTCTGCTTTGAGCAGCTTTCATTCTTGATTGGATAAGACGAATCTTGTCAGTTGTTTCTTGAATCAGCTCTGGTCCTATGACACGTACCTCATCAATATCACTCCAACACAATGGTGTTCGACATCTCCTCCCGTAAAGGGCTTCATATGGGGCCATTCCAATGGTGGCTTGATAGCTGTTGTTGTAAGAAAATTCCACCATAGGTAAATATTTTTCCCAAGTTCCTTGAAAATCCAAGATACATGCTCTTAACATATCTTCAACAATCTGATTAGTGCGTTCAGTTTTCCCATCTATTGTTGGGTGGAAAGTAGTACTAAATTTGAGTTTTGTTCCAAACGCCTTTTGTAATTCTTTCCAATATGTAGCCTGATATCTTGTATCACGGTCAGAAACAATCGAACTAGGTACCCCATGTAACCGCACTATGGTGTTCACATATAATTCAACAAGTTGATCCAGACTCCAGTTATTTTTCATTGCTAGGAAATGTGCAGATTTTGTTAATCGATCCACAATGACCCAAATAGCATTCATTCCCTTAGTTGACCTTGGTAGTCCTATGATAAAATCCATTGATATCGAGTCCCATTTCCATTCTGGTACATCCAACGGTTGTAACAAACCTGCTGGTCTTTGATGTTCTATCTTAATTATCTGACACGTCAAACATTTAGCTACAAATTCCGCCACTTCTTGCTTCATGTTACTCCACCAGTATATTTGTTTCAAATCCTTGTACATTTTGTTTCCTCCAGGGTGAATCGAGTATGGTGAACTATGAGCTTCCTCTAAAATCTTCTTTTTCAACATCTCTTCATTGGGAACACATAATCTACCTTGAAACCTTAATGTTCCATCCTCCTGAATTACAAAACCCGGGGATTTCCCACTTCGTACCTCATTCTTTATTCTTTCCAATTGTGAGTCCTTACTTTGGGCCTCCTTAATTTCATCTATCAATGTCGGTCTTATCTCTAGTGTATTTAGACAAGCCTTCCCATCCTTATGAATAAATTCGATTCCCATCCTTTGTAAGTCGTTATAGTTGGCTTGGGAAAAAGGTAAAATTGAACTCAGGCGAGCTTTACGACTTAAGGCATCAGCAACAACATTAGCTTTGCCAGGATGATATTGGATACTTACATCATAATCTTTTAAGAGTTCCAACCATCTACGTTGTCTCATATTCAGCTCCTTTTGGGTAAAAATGTACTTGAGGCTTTTATGGTCAGTAAAAATTTTACATGAAGCACCGTATAAGTAATGTCTCCATAATTTGAGTGCAAAAATTACGGCAGCAAGTTCAAGATCATGAGTGGGGTAATTTTGTTCATGTATTTTGAGCTGGCGAGAAGCATAAGCTATGACTTTATCATTTTGCATCAATACACATCCTAAACCATGCTTGGAGGCATCACTATAAATAAGAAATCCTTCAGTTCCAGATGGAAGGGTGAGAATAGGAGCAGTGGTGAGACGTTTCTTAAGTTCCTGAAATGCAGACTCACAATCTTTATCCCAAATAAACTTGGTATTTTTCCTCACAAGTCGAGTTATAGGTAATGCAACCTTGGAAAAGTCTTTAACAAATCTTCTATAATATCCAGCTAAGCCCATAAAACTTCGTACATCAGGAACGTTGGTTGGTCTAGGCCATTCCACAATTGCTTTTATTTTCTCAGGATCTACAGATATTCCCTTATCAGAAATAATGTGCCCCAAAAATGATATTTCCTTTAGCCAAAACTCGCACTTTGTTAATTTTGCATATAACTGATTTTTGATCAAGGCACTATTCTTAAATGTTCCTCATGTTCTTCATTATTATTGGAATACACCAAAATGTCATCAATAAAAACAACAACAAACTTATCGAGGTATGGTTTAAAAATACGGTTCATCAAATCCATAAACACCGCTGGTGCATTAGTTAACCCAAATGGCATTATAACAAACTCATAATGACCATATCGCGTTCTAAAGGCAGTTTTTGGAACATCTTCAGATTTAATACGGAGTTGGTGATATCCAGACCTCAAATCAATCTTTGAGAATACTTTTGCACCTCGAAGTTGGTCAAATAAATCATCAATACGAGGTAAAGGGTATTTGTTCTTGATTGTGATCTTGTTTAGCTCCCTATAATCGACACATAACCTCAAACTTCCATCCTTTTTCTTCACAAACAAGACTGGGGCTCCCCAAGGTGACACACTCGGTCGAATGTATCCTTTCTCAAGCAACTCATCTAATTGTTTCTTTAATTCTTGTAATTCAGTTGGTGCCATCCTATATGGTGCTTTAGAAATAGGAGTCGATCCTGGAATTAACTCGATGGTAAAGTCTAATTCTCTTGGTGGTGGCATGCCAGGTATCTCTTCTGGAAAGACTTCTGGGTACTCACAAACTATAGGAATGTTAGTTACTAATGATTCAGATGGGTTTAAGTCAACCACACTACAAAGATAACCACATATCCTCTTATCAATCTGGTGAGCTTTCAAAGCAGCGACTATTTGGATATTTGGTTTTCTTTCAAACTTTTGATAGGATATCCTTTCTCCATTTGGAGCCTTAAGGGTTAAACTTTGCTCAACATAATCAATTTTGGCCTCATGCTTAGTTAACCAATCCATACCCAAAATTATGTCAAACTCAGATAAGTCAAAAGCTATCAAATTAGCTGGGAATTCGACTCCCTCTAAAATAATTGGACAGTCTCTATACATGGTTCCACATTTTACGGTTTCTCCAGTAGGGAGGGAAACACTTATGCCAAGAAAGTCATAATATGGTTTCAATTGCAAACTATTGGCGAATATTGGGGAAATAAAAGAATGTGATGCTCCAGAATCAAAGAGAACATGAGCATGTGAAGAATGGATAGAGAAAGTACCAGTGATCACAGTGTCATCATTATCTGCCTCATCCTGTCTCATCACATAAACTCTTCCAGTTGTGGGTGGTCGAGGTAGATTTCGGTTTGTGCCTCCTGTGTTGTTCCTTCCTCGATCTGCACCAGATGGAGCAGGTCCCTTTGAAATTGGTGTAAATGTTATGAACTTAGGACAATCCTTAATATAATGACTAGGACTCCCACATCGGTAGCAAGTATTGGTACCGACACGACATTCATTCTCAGTATGGCTTCTCCTTCCACATTTAGCACACACTACTTGAGATCTATTATTCTGATTTTTGTTCCCTCCTTGCTGACCTTGTCCTCTATTACCAGAGTAACCCCCTTGTTGACTTTGGTTTTTCCTCTTTGTTCCTCCTTGGTTTTGGTTATCATTCCTCCTTTTATAGCCAACATTTTGTGCCTCTCGAAGTAATACAACCCTTTCCACATTAACTGCTACATCAACCATATCTTGATAAGTAGTAAATCGTTGAGATGATAGCCTGTCCTGATATTTCAAATGGAGACCTCGTTCGAAACGATTCATCCTAGATTGTTCCGTTGATACTAATTCTGGTGCAAACCTTGATAACTCCATGAATTTGTTTGCATAATCCAACACACTCATGGTTCCTTGTTGCAAGTGGAGGAATTCATCTTCTTTTTGTCTCCTCAAAGACAATGGATAAAACCTATCTCGCATCAACTCTTGGAGTTTGGTCCAACTAAATCCAGACTCAATTCTTCCTTTCCTTGTTGACCTTCCACCATAAACTTGCTTGACTGGTGAGATAAAATGTAGCAAAGTCAACTTTCATTCTTTCAGGACATCGCAAGGTCTCGAACAACTGATCCATCCGGTTAATCCAATCTTCAAACTCGACTGGATTAGGCTTACCATCATATGATGGTGGGTTAAGGGATGAAAACTTTTTAAACATTGACGCACTATCTTCCTCATTCGTATTTTTCTTTTTCCTAGAATCTTGAACTAGTTCAGCTAACAACGTACTCACATTCTCGAGTCGTCCCATTCTTTCTTCGTACTCCTCTAAGGGTTGCTCCTTGTTGTTTTCCTCATGGACGTTTTCTTCGTGGACCATTTCATTTCTTATAAAAACATCGTTATGGGTTTCTTTGGAGGCATCGGTAGTTCCCTTGTAACTTGCCATTCTGCACATCAAATGTGATTAAGAAAACTAAGAATGGAAAAATAAACCCCTTTATCTCGTTCCTACACTCACACTCAATTCTATATATATATTTAAAACATATTTTAATAGTTAGTGATCTTATTCTAAAAATCTAATCAACTTTATATATAAATGTAAAATCAGTAGGGTTTCACAGGAACCGTTGCTCTGATACCACACTGTAACACCCCGACCTCTAATTCAATTCTTAAGATAATCTTAGCAGCGGAATTAACCTAACACGGTCGGAACGTCACTGCCGTAAATCCCTTACGAGATTTACAAGGCAACAAACATACTTAATTAACAAACTTGATTTATAAAACATAGTAATCTATTTATAACAAACATTATTCTTAATTTTTATAATAGAAAATCCTATCTTATCTCAAACTTTATTAAGTAGCTTAGTCTTACTATTCAAATTAAACAAATTAAAACTATAACTACTATTAAGTGATAACTGAAAGTAAAATCCTCGCTACTACTCGTCTCCATCATCCCCAGCAGTACCTAAAACATAAAAACATAAAAACGGGTGAGCCAAAGACTCAGTAACGAACTACTCTAGTAGTGTAACATCATTTCAATTCATTTTAGTTAACAAAACAGGGAGAATAGAGTATCTTAAAACATTTAATAAAATTCATATAATGATATATATATATATAACGTTCATATTAACATGCTAGTCGCTGGCAAGTATGACATGGCGGAACGTCTTCCGCGATGGGCCGGTGCCCATAACATAGAGCAGATGCTCGACATAGTTGGACTAATGCCCCATGGGTACATGCATGACCGAAAAGTAACCTGTAAACATATACTGCCAGACGGACTAGATTTTTCACTGTTATTTATCATGTTGTGTAACTTTTACATAAGTCATTCATAGATTCATGACATACTTTCGTAAGATCCAAAGATCAATAAAACAACGTTTATCAATAAAATCATTCATATAAATAATTATACTGGAGTACATTAATAAACACAATCATCATCCCGTAAGTCAATAAATCCAGAGATATAATTAACTTTCAAAATTGACATCATGGTTTTATAAACACATTTTGAAGGGAATTGCGGGTACTAGCAATAGCCGTTACCTCGATTTACAGTCTGATAACCTTTCTGTTAGCCTTTATTCTATCGTTCTCACTGAGCTCCGAGGTCCGATTCTTCTTAAAAATATAAATTATTGCATTAGTAGGAAAAATGATTAAAAATATACTCTTTAATTATTTTAGTATAAAATCAACAAACTTATTTCTAAATACAAGTAATACCATACGTAGCTTTATGACTCAAAGAAGTCATAGTTTTTCCACTAAATCATTAACTTAAGTATAAGAATTATTTTTGTATTACAAGAAAAACAATACTAGATAACAAGATTTCTCTTTAAAGAATAAATATGAACATTGAAACAATACTACTTATACCTTGGGCTAATTAGTAGTATACGAAGCAATAAGGTAATGGGTCTTAGAAGGCCATTTTCATTAGTTTGACAAGAAAGTTTACGAAAGGAGAAAAGAAAGTATATAATGAGTTAATGACACTAGTGAATGGTGGTGACGTTTTATATATATATATAGAGTAATATGGTTGCTAGAATGAACTTGAAAGAAAGAAGAAGATAAGATCAAGATTTGCTAAATTGATAATCATGGGGTTTTGAGTGACCAATTATATGGAAAGGCAAAATTAGACTTTGTATTATAAAGCTCTTAACCGTGAGGGGAATAGAGAAGCAAGAGGTGGGTTTTGTTTTCTAGTTGAATGAAGCAAAGTTTATCCTTTGCTCTTTTGTTTCTTAACGGTGAAGGATCAATAGCTTACAAGAAAAGATTATAAAATTTTATTAAGTGATAAGATTATCACAAGAATTAGGCAACTAATGGTAAAGGAAACAGTGAGAAATGAAATTATCAATTCTTTTCTTAGTGGTGAAAAAGGGATGAAGTTAGGAGGTGGATTTTGTCTCTTATGATAAGTAAGGGCATTTTGGTCATTTTTTTTTCGGGTAAAAATACATATTTTGATACAAATCTTTAAACATTTTACTGACCGGAAATAAGCTGTAAAATAATAATTTACTTTCCTTAAAATTAGCTTCTGAAATAATATAATATTAAAATAAAATTCAAGATTAAAACATTCGTTCTTGTTAAAACAGAGACAAAACTTTAATTAAGCTAATAAAATAAATATTAGCGTATAATAAATTAGGTTTTAAAATCTCGGGTATTACAGTTAGGATTATAATTTAGTAAGCTATAAGCAAGAGTATTAGTACAACTTTCAAGAAAAAAAATAATTTCAATCATAGTGTGTTGCAAATAGCCAAATATGGTGACGTTTCATTTCTAGAGAAGAGTTGCAAGTATAAAAATACGGAGGATACTTATGCATAAAATAACTTAGTGATGCAAGTATCAATTCTTAGTGATTTATAAACCTTATCTCGTTGCCTATCGACATTAAAATCATATTAGGTTTAAAGCTACCCAAAACTGGCAAAACGTTATCCTAAATTGACTAAAAGTTACCATAATATTGTTCTTAGTACACTAATTTTATTGTAAACCGTATGTACATAAAAAATTTGAAAGTTTAAACCAATCGATAAGGCAATTGGGAGACGAAAAGTTATAAGACCAATGGAGAGACATGATAGCATAATTTCCTATATTAAAGATTTGATAACAATGTACAATGTATAAAAGCCTTCTCTTGCCAAGGCAGCTATAAGTACAACCAAGTCCTTAGGATAAGAGCCTAAAGAAGGGTCAACTGCAAAGCTGAGAGCAAAGTCGTTGAACCCGGGAAGAGTTATCATCTATCAATGGATATATGTGGCTTCGTCCACTGCTGAGGCATGTCACGTTCACTTTATCTCCGAGCTCCATCGACTGCAATCAATGAAATGCACACAAGCAGCAAGTGTTAATCGCAACATCCAATGAAGAGCAGCCTAACCTAAATTAGCACTTAGGCTATGTTCCTTTTACTTTAACAAGGTTTCCCAAGTTCAATTCACTAACTACAATAACACTTCTCAAATAAGGGGCCAATAAGGGTTTATAAGTTCATATGCCAAGAATTAAGGTGAAGAAAAACAAAGCCTAGAGTCGTATGAATTCATTCATAGATAATAAGAGAATAGCCTACATATATTGTTGAAATTAACCCATAAAACATTTTATAGTTCTTTTGCATGTAATTGAGACGAATGTAGGTCATGTGAATTACCTCACAAAGCAGTTGTTGCGACTTGCAGCTCCATTTAGAAGAAGGAATACAGCTCAAATAATGGCACCATGAACAATAGTCATTCCCATTTACTCCTCTAAAAAGCATCACAAGTCCACCCGTAAATCTGAAAAAATCATTCCTGGTGGTTAGCTAATATGTAGCCATAACAATTACAGAAAACAAAAGTGTAAATAACAGCAGTGATGTTCCCTCTCACGATGCAATAAAATCAGTAAGAAATCACAAGAGGCCAAGATTGCCAGTTGGCAATAGTTACAAATGAAAGTTAGAGAACAGTATAAAAGTTGGAGCGCACAACCAAGAATCAAGCTCACCCGCCAATCAAGACTACAGCAGCGACGATCCAAAGTACGTATTGATATGGCTTGTGCTTAGATTTACGAGGTCCAGCAGAAGAGCCTATATAAGTATGCTTTTGGCTCACCCATCCATATTGCGGGCGAATCAAAAGCATAAATCCAAGAAAAAATCCTGTGATAAATCCACCAATATGAGCAAAATTGTCCACATGAGGGAGAACTCCAACAGCCAGATTCAAAATGATGATCAATATAAGGGTCAACAAAGCTGCCAACTGGTTGTCAAAAAACATAGTATCATATGAGATATGACAAACAAGGAAAGTAAAGAACAGCAATGAGCGAAACAAAGCTTCAAGTACCTTGTTCGCATAAATTGTCCAATTTGTAAGCAGCTCAGAGAGCATAGCCCCTAGAAGACCAAATAATGCACCAGAAGCACCAACAGAGATTGCAGATTGGAGAAACAAAGATGACAATATGTTTGCACCAAAACCAGAGATTACATACAACAAACCTATCTTTACTGTAGAAAAGATGAGGCTAGAGTTAGAATAGTGTAAGAAAACGAACTAATGAAAAATGTTGTATAAACTTGTCTATTGCCAATAATTTCTAAAGGAAACATGAAAAGTGGAGCACAACAAAACCAAACTCTAAAACAAATTCATAATTCAAAAAATGAATTGCTGACATTTTTAATAACCACAGTGCAGAAGAACTCAGCGCGCAAAGACATTTCAAAACATATAGTGTAGGTATTTTAAAAAAGCAATAAGACTGTTATTAGCGCAAAAACATAACAGAAACATAAAAGGCCAAATGTAGAAAGAACTAAGGAAGCATACCAAAACCAAACTCTTGCTCAAGTCGTATGCCAATAAATACAAGGCTCAACATATTGGCAAGGATATGTACTACCCCAGCATGAAGCCATATGCTGGTAATCAACCGCCAAGCTTGATGTTGTATCACAACCTTATACACCTCCAAAGCTCCCATCTTCTCCAACCTGAACATACAAGTTCATAACTGTAGTTTAGATCTCTTATGAACCCATGTTAAGAATGAACCCACAATAAGTGTGAAGACTGCATTCTTACAAACCGCTCTCTTCTGAAAGTTCAGCCCAAATCGCCTTAATAATCAGTCCTCAGACTCCTCACTAATATAGCATCAAATCATCAAACTGTGAACCACCTAATGAACCTAGAATGTAAGCCTCATCATCTTTGGCTCAAGAAGAACCTATCTAATCTTAAATCAACAACACACTACGGAGTAAATCGAATCGCCACATAGTTGCACTACCATCATTCTACATACTAGTATTAGAAATTAGCACTAACATGCTTTCAGGCAGACTAAAATCCCTACATCCCAAGTACCATCTCAAATAAATCACACTCTAAATAGTAAATACTACTGTACTCTATTCAAACCATCAAATCATGAGTTCAAACTTATTAAAAAGAAAAACCCCATAAAAATGCACTAATTCTCATCCTCATTTCAAAATCAAACAACACCAACCAGTTCAACAGAACACTAGTTTGCAGCCCAGAAAACTAATTTAAGCTACTTCAACAATAATTATCAGAAACCCACCAAAAATACATGATCAAACATACATATTAAAAAAATAATTAATTCAATGAAATAGGAAAAGCAACTTACGCAGCAGAAGAAGGACCAAGAAGAGGGTTTTCCTTGAGAGGTTGAAAAGAGAACCTTCCCAAAAACCTCGCAAAGCAAGAGAAAGAATACTTCGGGCAATCATTCACATACATTGTTATCAAAAACAACAACACATTCACCACCACAAACGACGGAACCACCCATGGAGCCCACCTATTAAACGGCCGGAATTCCATTTCCGGCGGATGGGCCATTCTTCACCAAAACCCCAGATAATTTTTCAGGTGAATTTGCATGAAGATGAAGAGAATCATGGGTTGGAACCGAAAAAAATACAGTAAAATTTAATAAAGTTTGTAAAGAATTGATGATTGATTTATAAGGTGGTGAATGAAATGAAATAAGAATGCAACCGTTTTATTAAGGGAAAAGAACGGTTCACCAATTTTAATAAGGAATAAGGAAAAAAAGATTAAAAAAACGGGCAGTTTCCTGGATTTTTGGGTCTCTAAAAGTAGTCAAAAACTCGTTATTCGGATTCCTTGGCTTTGCCGGCTAACAGTTCACCCAAAATGATGTTGATTGTAATTTGTACTCTGTAATAATGATTTTTTGATGAAGAATCTGGGTCCTCTAAATAATTGTCCGTTGCTGCTTTGTGTTGTGTTGGCCCATTCGTTGTATTCCGTTTTGAGGTTCTCCTCCATTATGGTTTATGGATGATCGTTTAGGTTTCATGTTGTTCACTTTATCATGTTTTTTTTTTTTTTTTTTTTTTTTTTTTTGGGGTGCAAACGAGGGGCTAGGTCCCAAAGAAAAACAAAAAACACAAGAAAACTATGGGGGAACAAAATAGGGGAAAACTACACCTAGGACACCATCGTGGAGAATACAGCATAGGGCCAAAGGGGGTATTTGAATGAGTTCAATTCGATTGGCCCTGTTGCCTACTTGCCTTCCCTGTAAACATGCTTCACTTCCACAGTCCAGCTCGCTTCGCTAATCATTTGCTTGCAATGCTGAAGAATATGGTAGCATTCACCTCTATAATCACTCTTCGCTATTTAAAGCCAAAACATCAGCCTTATTATCCATCTGAATTTGCAGCCTTGGGATACCCATCCTTTTTGCAAGCTCAATACCATATTCCACAGCCATCATCTCAGCCTTATGGTTGTTGCCTTGTGAAATGTTGTTTAATTCGTCTTAATGGACGATATAGCCATTAGATGGTCACATAAATAACCATGGTGGTTGTTGGTGCAGTGGTAATTGGGGTTGAACCTGTTAGGGAAGACTGTGAGTTCGATCCCCCACAATAACAATTGGGAGGAGACTGAAACCTAACCACTCAAAACCGAACCCAAACTTTGGATTATCCCAAAGGGGGAATCGGGTGGGAACACCTAAAAAATAAAATAAAGAACTATGGTGGCTTTGAGGAGATGTGTTTATAACAACAAAATTGATAATGGATGGTTCCAACTGTTGGAATATATAGAGTGTATGTGGGGAGCCAGGTTGCCGCGCCCGCGGCATAGGGGTGCCGCGCCCGCGGGTCTGGGGAGAGCCCTCTCCCAGGGCGCGGCCCGACATCTCCAGAAAGTTGGGAGTGAACCATGTTCACCCTGTCCGCGATCGCGGCCCTTCGGCAGTTGCAATTTTTCTTTCGTTCTTTTTATATTAAAAAGAAACGATAGGAAGGGTGTGAAAGGGAATCAGTTTTTTCTCTTTTTCCCAAGCATTCTCCATATTTTCTGTGAGAAATTTTGCAAACTTTTCATTGAAAAACACTTGAAATTTAGCCAAATTTGTGAATTATTCATCTATATTTCGATTCTTAGTGCAAAGAACGAAGTGTTGTCTTTTGTATCACAAAGAGAATTTCCGGTATAAACCCAAGCACCATTGTGGGGGAAATTAATCTCTTTAGGAAAGTGTTTACATGCCTAAGACAAAGTATCAAGGTTTGAGACTTAAGTGGTCATCGGAATTCTCATGTTCATGTTCATCTTCAAAGGCTTGGAATTAAGACAAGTTAGTATCTTTCACATTAGGGTTTATCTTTGTAATTTCTGTATTTCATTGATATTTTGGTGCTTGGTTTGCAATACTTTGATTAGTATTGATTATTGTATAATTTAGTTGAAATTATACTTTGTTTTAGGTTTTGTTCCCACAAACTTAAGTAATTCTTATAGTAGAATTGCTGTAAAACCTAACAATCTAAAGAGATTAATCCTATCTTTAGCAAGCATGTCTAGTGTGAAAGAATTGACCACAAATTTTGTTAAACTGAAAAAGTTTGACGGTGTGGAGTTTCGGAGATGGAAGAAGAAGAAGATGTATTTTCTTTTTACATCTTTGAATGTTGCCTATGTCATAAGTACTCCAAGGTCTGGTGAACATGAGAATGAAACCTTAGAAACCGTTTGGGAGAGGTCGAAATGGGACAACAATGATTTTATTTGTCGTGGTCATATCTTGAATGGTATGGAGGATAACTTATTTGATGGCTACCAAAATGTTGAGTCGGCTAAGGAGCTTTGGGAGTCCTTAGAGAGCAAGTACATGGTGGAAGACACGTCAAGTAAGAAGTTTTTAGTAAGCAATTTCAATAATTTTAAATTTGTCGATAGTCGGTCCATAATGGACCAATTCCATGAAGTACAACGTATCTATGGTAATTTGAAACAACGTGGTATTTCTATGGATGAATTATTTGTTGTTTCAAGTATTATTGACAAGCTGTCCTCTAGTTGCAAAGATGTTAAGCATGAGCTTATACATAAGAAAGAGGACATTTCATTGTCTGAGTTGGCCACCCATCTTCAAGTTGAAGAGGGGACAATGTCCATGGAAAGTGCAAAGGATGGGAATCCTACCACATCCACCATTAATGTGATGGAGGAAGGTAAATCTAGTGCTTCAACTAGTGGAAAACGTAAGCATGATAATGCTTACAAAGGAAAGTCCAAAAAGAAAATGAACAATAACAAGTTTTCTTGTTGGGAATGTGATAAAACTGGACACCGCAAGAAGGACTGTTTCATTTTCAAGAAGAAAATGGAGAAAGCCAAGCAGGGTCAAGCTTCTAAGAGCAAGGACTCATCCATTAAAGGTAATCCTTTACATGAGGTTGAATTTAACTCCGGTTTGGATTTAAATGCAACGGATCCTAACATTTATATGGTACAGGATGATGACTCATGGTGGATTGATTCGGGGGCTTCTAGGCACATATGCAAGATGAAGCTTTGGTTCAAAACCTTTCACAAGGTTGGTGATGGAGAAGATTTATGGGGAATAGCTCAACCATCAAGGTCCTTGGAAGAGGAAAAGTAGAACTAATGTTTAGTTTGGGGAATGCAATCATTCTTAGGGATATGTTGTATGCTCCAGAGATTAGTATCTTGTATCAGGTCCTACTCTAAATTTTCTTGGTTATAAACTAGTATTTGAAGCTAATATATGTATTATTACTAGAGGTGCAACATTTATAGGTCGTTGTTACTTAAGTAATGGATTGTTTAAACTCTCTTTGAAAGACAAGTATGTATTTAATGATGATGTTTGTTTAAATATTAATAATGACAATGGTGTGAATTTGTTTGATTTATGGCATTTTAGATTAGGTCATGTTAATTTCAATAAGTTGAATTACATTTCTAAACTGATTCATAGTGACTTGTGTGATTTTCATAGTACTCCTTCTTTGGGGAATAAAAGATACATGATTACATTTATAGATGATTATTCTAGGTTTTGTTATGTGTATCTTTTACACTCCAAAGATGAAGCTTTGGTAAAGTTTGATATTTATAAAGGGAAGTAGAACTGCAAGTAGAATCTTTAATTAAGAGAATAAAAACCGATAAGGGAGGGGAATATTATGATCCAGCTTATTTCCAATCTTTGGGTATAATTCATGAGACTACAGCGGGTTATGCACCACAATCAAATGGTGTAGCTGAAAGGAAAAACAGAACTCTTGAAGAAATGGTTAATTCCATGTTATCTTACTTTGGTTTGAGTGAAGGGTTCTAGGGTGAAGCAATGTTGACAGCTTATCACATTCTTAACCGGGTTCCCACTAAGGGAAAACAATTTACTCCTTATGATCTTTGGTACAAAAGAAAGTCAAACTTGAAGTATCTCAAGGTTTGGGGTTGTAAGGCAATCGTAAGAGTGCCTGACAACAAGAAAAGAAAGCTCGGTGAAAGGGGCATGCATTTTTATAGGTTATGTTGAGCATAGCAAAACCTATAGGTTCTATGTAATAGAACAAATTGACTATATATCGATACATTCGGTTATTGAGTCAAGAGATGCAATTTTTTATGAAAACCGATTTTCATCAATGAGTAGACCAAAAGATCTACAAATAAGTGCCAATGATAGGGTGATAGTGGAGTTGAATGATCAACTTGAAACTCATGAAGATACATTTGATAATGAGAATGTAGAAACTCCTCAAGTTAGGAGAAGTACTAGGGAAAGGAGACCTAAGAACTTTGGTGATAACTTTATAATTTATTTAGTTGAAGGTTCTAGGGATGTCCTTAGTAATACTATTCCATATTGTTTTAATGTGGATAGTGACCCAAAGACTTATAGTGAGGCCATAACTTCTCAAGATAGTGCATTTTGGAAGGAAGCTATAAATGATGAGATAGATTCCATCATGGGAAATAATACTTGGGTCATAGAGGATTTACCTCCCGGTTGCAAACCTCTTGGTTGCAAGTGGATTTTCACTAGGAAAAGGAGGTCGGATGGCTCCATAGTGAAATTTAAAGTCAGATTGGTTATCCAAGGCTTTAGGCAAAAGCATGGTGTTGATTATTTTGATACCTATGCACCGGTTGCAAGAATTACCTTTATAAGGTTATTGATTGCAATGACTTCGGTATATAATCTAGTGATTCATCAAATGGATGTCAAGACGACATTCATTTATGGAGATCTAGAGGAAGAGATGTATATGAAACAGCTTGAAGGGTTTGTTTTGGAAGGACAGGAAAATAAGGTGTGTAAATTGGTTAAGTCATTGTATGGATTTAAACAAGCACCAAAGCAGTGGCATCGAAAATTTGATGACACGATATTGTCCTTTAGATTCAAAGTGAATCAAGCAGATAAGTGTATATATAGAAAATTTGATGACAAAGGTCATGGTGTCATCATTTGTTTATATGTTGATGATATGCTTATTTTTTGTACAAGTCTACAACAAGTAGAATTGACCAAGGAATTCTTATCCTCATCTTTTTAGATGAAGGATTTGGGGAAGGCAGATGTCATTTTGGGCATCAAGATTATTAGGGATAATGGAAGATTAATTTTGAGTCAATCTCATTATATTGAGAAGATGATCAAACGGTTTAAATGTTTGATAAGAGTCCTGTAAATACCCCCATGGAACCTAATGTTAAATTAGTTAAGAATTCAGGGAAAACGGTTTCCCAATTGGAATATTCAAGGATAATTGGATCCTTGATGTATGTCATGACAAGTACAAGACCGGATATTGCATTGGCTGTAGGGAAACTTAGTAGATTTACTAGTAACCCGGGTGTACAGCATTGGTTTGCAATTCGAAGGGTCTTAAGGTATCTTAAAGGTACATTGGATTATGGTTTGACTTATAGTGAATTTCCTTCGATTTTAGAAGGCTATTCGGATGCAAGTTGGATCACTTACAAAGAGGATAACTCTTCTGTTAGTGGTTGGGTGTTCATGTTTGGGGGAGGTGCCATTTCATGGTCTTCCAAGAAACAAACTTGCATTGCCGATTCCACTATGGTAGCGGAGTTTATTGCTCTTGCTTCAGCTAGTAAGGAAGCTGAATGATTGAGAAATCTCATATTTTAGTTGCCTTTATTGCCTAAGCCAATGCCACCGG